GTGGCCGCAGGTACAGGAGAGACCGGCCGGATGGCCGCGGGCACAGAGGGACCTGAGCGGGAAGCTGGCCGGCGGCTGACACAGGGAATGAGACAGGCCGGGCTGCACGAACCCCGGCTCAGAAAGGCCCAGTGCTGACCCAGGGAGCTCCTGACCCTGCTGCTGGCCCCTGGGGTGCAGCGGCTAGACACCAGTCTGCTCCAGAGGAGACGCCAGCCTCACTCAGGGCCTTGGGACTGGGCAGAGCTGCGCCCAGAGCCGGGCACCACAGGAAGCTGCCCAGCGGGAGGGACGGGAGACAGGGAGGCAGGAGCAGCTCCATGGCCCCGGGTGCAGGTGCGCGGTGGGCAGGCAGGCGTGGCCACCCCAGGACTCTGGTTAGCCGGTCCCACCTGGATACTTGCTGTAGGGCCCTGGTGCGTTTCATAGCCTCCGTGCCCGGGTTTAGCACTGGCGAGCCCTGCACCAGGTCCCTGGCACCCCCACTTTGCAGGAGAACACGGGGGTGCACGGGAGGCTAAGCACCTGCCCAGGTGACAGACGGGCAGCTGGGTCAGGACGGGGAGAGCGGTGCCCTTCCCCACCGGGCCGGGCAGACACGGGGGTTTCCTGCAGGGTGGAGGGGCACCGGGGCTGTGAACGCCGGCCCCACAGCCGGCTGCTTTCTGCCCCTCTTCTGGGTCCGAGCCAGCAGAGGTAAAGACAGGCAGCCCCCGGCCCCGAGGCTTCCTGCAGCGGTGTGCAGCGGCCCGGCTGGAGCGGCCCGGCTATGGCGGCCCGGCTATGGCAGCCCGGCTGGAGCGGCCTGGCTATGACAGCCCGGCTATGGCAGCCTGGCTGGAACGGCCCGGCTGGAGCGGCCTGGCTATGGCGGCCCGGCTATGGCAGCCCGGCTGGAGCGGCCCTGCTAGACCGCGCTGCTAACTTCAGTTCTCAGAAGGCAGAGCTGCAGGAGCCCTGCCCTCGGGGGAGCGGGGAAAGCATTAATGAGATGTTTGTAACCTTGTGCGGCTCCCTGGGGGCCAGACCCGGCCAGGGCGGGAGCAGCTGGGGGTGGGGGCAGCCTGGTCCCTGCTGTCCTCACCATGGGGAGGGTGGGGGAGGCAGCACCTGAGCTGTCTAACCTGCTCCTGTCACTGTCCCCAGACGCTTGGCCAGGACAGCGGGTGTTCTCCTGTTTTACAGAAGAGGAACCTGAGGCGTTTGGAACTGTGACGGAGACGGGACTGGTGTGAGGGCCCCGGTGCCGAGTGAACCCTCTCTGGGGACCCCCGACCCCAGGAGGCGTCCTCGCCTCCCTCACTTAACACCCAGGGTCAGGGCTCAGGGACCGAGCCAAGCTGAGAAGGTTCTAGAAAGGGCATTTCCAGAGAGGCGATGTGCTAGGCGTGGGAACCACTCCCAGCACTGTGCAGAAGGGGGCCTGGAGGGGGGACCCCAAACCAGAGCCAGGAGACTCAGCCGCGGTGCCTGCCCGCTTCATCTCAGGGGCCCGACTGGGTGGCATTGTGGGCGAGCCCCGGGCTGCCACCTGCGAGGGCGATGCCCGTGAACCCAGCCGTGGCTGCCAAGGCCGGCGTGGGGGTGGCCAGGAGCCCCTCCTCTCCAGGAGGGCGGGGGAGGAGCAGCAGAGCGTGATTCTGGTCACCTGACAGGCAGGTGCCACGGGCTGGCCTGCAGAGGGGTGAGTGCCCTGCCTCCCCCCGCGGTCTGCAGCCAGGGGCACTTGCAGGTGTGACCAGGCCGCAGCACGGCCCTCCCTGCTTGTCCCTACTGGACTGAGAAGGGGCCGACCTCTGAGGTTACGCGCCCAGCCCACGGTCCTGGCCCAACAGCCATGAGGGAGGCCTGCGGGCCCTGGCGCTGACCGCCCAGGCCAGGCATTGCAGGGTGTCCGGGACAGGTCCTTCAACCCCGCCCGCCTCGGTTTCCCCATCGGCATTCTGCAGGCAGTACCACCTCCAGCTCCAGGGCTATGCTGAGGCTCCGTCATGGTCACCGTGGACACTGACTAAGAACGGGCCCCTGCTGGCTCGCCCAGGCACCTGCACGGCTCAGCACTGGTGGGACGCGCCTGCTGGGAGGGGCCGGCCTGTGGCAGGAGGCCAGCGCTGAGCTCCCAGTGCCCAGCCCAGCCCAGACAGGATGGCATCATGATGACCAGCACTCCAGCTGGGCACAGAACGTCCTGGGGCGGCCTGAGCACTCCAATGAGGGGCGGGGAGCGAGGCGGGGTCTCGGGACAGTGGGGAGGGGCACGCTCACAGGCACTGTGTGTCCCTGCAAGGCCCAAGCCCTCCCAAGGGGGAGGTCCAGGCCTAGGGCTGCATGGGGAGGGGGTGGGGTTCCCCTCCAGGCCTGTCGCAGCCTCCAGGGGTGGGGGGGGGGACATCAGAGGCGCGAAGGAGCCAATGTCACCTCCAGGACCAGGTTCTCCATGGCAGCCTGGCCTGGGTGGGTCACCGCTGAAGCCAGAGGGTGAGCCTGGGCCGCAGTCGGCCGGCGGCAGGAGGTCTAGTCCATGGCAGGCGGGAAGCCCCTCCGCACCGAGGACACAGCTCCCAGCGTCTCCCTCCCCAAGTCTCAGAGATGGTGTGGGACGAGGACTAGGCAGCTCTCAGTGTCTGCATTCAAGAAGCAACAATTGAGTGCCGGCTGTTTGCCAGGAGCCAGCAGGCAACCTGCCCTGAGAGGTCCGGCAGTCGAGATGCTAAGTGGCCTGCGCTGGAGTTCAGGGTGCGGCTCACCCCCAGGGCCTCAGACGCCCCCACAGGTACCTGGGCCTGGGCCCAGCCCTCTCATCTCCCACCAGACCCTGGACAAGCCAGGGAACCCCAGGCCTCAGTTTCCCTAGTGTAACCTGAGGTCACAGCACCCATCTCACCATGGCCCTGGGGGCAGGAGAGCGAGTGGTCAGCACCAGGCCTGGTTCACCCCTGGGGTCCTCGCCTCTACCGGCTGACCAAAGATGGCCACTTGTTCAGTGGCTGCCACCCACCAGGCAGTCCCTGTCCAGCGGATGCTGTGGACACGCTCAGAGCCACTGGTCCCACAGCCCCCAAGCAGGGGCTCCACTCTCGGACCCCGGGAAAGCCAGTGATGACCGGACGCAGGTCGGCCTCGCCTGGTCCAAGGAGACCCTGGTGGTGTCAGGGGTCATGGGCCCTTGCCATCCTGTCGTCCCATCTTCCAGGTCCGCACAGGGGGTGGAGGCGCCCCACCCCACCCAGAGCCCCTGGGGCTGCTGGCCATCGACAGCACAACCCCTCAGCTTGGCCGCCCATGGAAGCCCTGGGACCTCCTTTAACGTCCAGCCTCTGGGGGCCGCTGGCTCCGTGCCGTGAGGCCCTGCTCTGGGGAGAGTCCTCCTGCCTACCCAGGCACCGCCGGGGCCTGTGAGGGACTTCAAAGGCGGCAGGTGCAGTGCCTGCAGCCGGCTCGGGAGCGCCTGTCTCCCCATCACTGCCAGGGGCCGGTCACCGCGGACTCGGCCTCAGCCTCCCCACAGCCTGGAGCCGGGGCCTGGTGTCCGCTCCACTTCACGGAGGAGGACGCTGAGGGTCTGGGGACAGCCGGGGTGGGGCAGGGACCTGAAGCGCCCCTCCCCACTGAGACCAAGGAGCAAATCAGCTGCCAGCATGAAGCTGAGTTTTGGGACTGAGCCCCAGACTCAACTCTGGGCTGGGGGACAGGCCTGGACAGGGAGGGGTCGGGTGCACATGGCTGAACCAGGCACTTGAACGCGGCTGAGACGTGACGTTTACGGCATGCACCTTCTGTCACCGCTTCCCAAAAGTGACAAAGAACGAGGGCCAGAGAAGCCCGGGCGGTCCTTCAGGTCCACAGAGTGCGGTCCACTTGCCGAGGGACACCCTGCAGACCTAGCTGAGCAGGGGACCCCAGGCAGCCAGGCCGGCAATGCTCCTCGCCCGCCCAGGACAGACACCACCAATCGACTGCTCGCACCAAGCCAAACTCAGCCTCGGACCCTTCTCAGACTCCCGGCAGCTGCTGCCAACGCCAAGCGCTGATCTCTCACGGACAACTGGACGCCAGGTGGGCCACGTGACAAGCATGTCATGGAGACTGGCGCTCAGTCCTCCCGTGGTTACTCCATGGGGCACCAGGCGGCTGGGCCTCCCACTGGGCAAGTGACCAAGGGGAGACCCTGAGTCAGGGAGGAGGCGGCCTGCAGAGTGGCCAGCCGCTGCCCCACCCGCCCAGGCTCCATGGCCCTGGAGGTGCAGCTGTGTCCCCGTCCACCTGTCTGGGGCCTCCACACTGTCCAAATGCCCACACATGGTCTGGGTCCTTCCCTCTCTGTGGCCGTCCCCTGTCATCCCCTAGGCCCACATCAGAGGAGTTCAAAGGTGGACAGAGACGTGGCCAGTGCAGCAGGGACGCCGGCCCCTCTCCCCGGCAGCCAGTGGTGCCCTCCCCGACAGCGCAGAAGCCCCAACCGTGGCTACACACGTGGACACCAGACTGGACTCCATTCGCAAGCTGCCTTGCAGCCAGGGCCACGTGATGGGGTTTTGACCAATGGGGGGAGGGGTGGCGCGAGTTCCACAGGTGACTCCCAAGGGACAGCTGTCCCTGTCCCGCAGGCATGGGGACTGGGGCCGAGGGTGGCGGGGGCTCAGGCTTCTCCTGGTTCAGCCAGTGCCCCTCTCCTGAGAGCACAGCCGGGACAGTGCCAAGCCCGCCGCCCCCTGATGTGACCACATCCACCGGTGACACTCGGCACACGGGTGACACCACGCATCCGCTCCCAGTGCCACCTTCATGCCCCTAAAGGCAACTGTCCCGGGAACTGTCGGTTTCCTGCAGTCACCCAGCCCCCGTCCCTGTTCTAGAAGCTTCACACCAGGGAATCAGATCAGGCGCGTGCCCTCGTGTCTGCCCCTTCCCCTCAGCGAGACGAGCACAGGGCTTGGGTGTGCAGTGTGGGGCTGACCCTAACCGGCCATGGAGTGTGGCCTGGCCGTGTCCTCTCTCACCAGGCGCTGTGGACGGAACTGGAGGCCCCTGGACTCCCGTGGTGACCGTGCCTGGGGACAGGGCCTTGGAGCCGGAACCTGAGGTTGAGCAAGGTTGCAGGCTCAGACCTGAGGGCCCCGGGCTGGCGGCCTACAAGGAGGAGGAGGAGGAGGCGGCTTCCCTGCCCCAGGACAGCCACGGTGGACAGCAGGTGGCACATGGGGTGAGGCCCCGACCAGGGCCCAGCCGGACTGCCGCCATGTCCCACGCATGCAGGCTTCCAGACTGTGAGAAGTACAAGCCTGCTGCACAAACCGCGTAGTCCGCGGTGTTCGACACGGCAGCCAGGGCCAAGACACCGGGCACAGGGAAGACGTGCTGCCGGCAGAGGACAGCGAGGGCCCGAGGCACTGGTGGGGTCCCTGCCCCCATCCGAGGCACTCCGTGATGGCCAGCCGCGGGTCTCCCCCGGCACTGACCACCTGTCCAGGTCCAGGTCGTTGCCGGGAACACAGAAAGCGAGCACGTGCTGAGCAAGCAGCCAGGCCTGGCCCGAGCTGGCCATCAGACCCCACGCCCAGGGAGAAATCCACAGCCCCCTGTCCGGGAGCCCCCAGCTGTCCGCCCTGACGCTCAGGGCTTCCTTCTTTGGAACCCAGCTGGCCAGCTCAGGGTGGGGAGGGGCAGAACCTTCCAGAGACGTCCCTGCCACCGCTTCTGCTGTGGGTCCGGCTGCACAGAACAGCACAGCCTCCTCTTTCCGGAACCGGATGGAACAGTGCCTGCATGGCCACAGGGCTCTGGGAGGCAGGTGCACAGAGACCCTGGCAGGGGCCTGGCTCACAGCGGCCACTTGGTTGACCAGCTCGGGAGGGAGGTTCAGGGCCAGGGCACCCAGCACCCCCGAAAGATCCATGGCTGGGCCACACTGCTCCGTGGTGACACCCACCTTGGGCAACCACACTCAGGGTGATGCGTGGGAACCCTGGCAGGGGGCTGGAGGGAGGGCCCCAGAAACAGCAGCAGGTGGCGGCTGAGACCCCCGACGCACGTGGTGCCAGCTGGTGCCACCACAGCACGTCACGGGAGCACAGCGTGGCCCTGGCTCGGCCAACCAGGGCGCCGGCTCCTGCCACGCTGTCGTGACTCCCTAGGGAAACGGGAGGTGAGACTAAGCACCAGGAAGTCGAGGCCCAGCCAAGCAAGACCTCCTTCCCTGGTAGCCGAGCAGGGAGGCCTGATTCTCGGACGGTACAGAAGGCAGCAAGGGCTCAGGGCTGCCAGGGCCCCGGGCCCCCGCCTCCGCGGGCTCTGTCGAGGCAGTGTCTGCCCCAGCTGCAGCCGACCTCCAGGGAAAAGCCTGGCAGGGCCCTGTGACGCCCCCGCGCCTCCCTGTGAGCCCAGGTGGACGGATGGGAAGCCCAGGCTGAGGAAGGGCCTGTGGACACTGCGGCCGCCAGCGGCTTGTTGGCGGTGACGGGTCAGGCGCGGCTGCAGGCGCTTCTGCCAGTAGACGGCAGGTAGCCAGTGGACGGTGCGGTCACACTCGGGCCGGGGGCTGCTGGCTCCCACGGGATGAGGCCGAGCGGTGAGCAGAAGCCATAGCGGCATCTCTGTGCTGAGAAGTCCCCTGGGGCCCTGTGCAGCCGGCTGGTGGCGCAGGGCAACCTGCCCCATGGACACCATAGCCAACACAGCAACACAGGTGCTTGCAACACCCGAGGGCCCTGGGGAGGCCGGGGCGTACCGAGCGGTCCTCCAGCGGGGCCCGCCCAGCTGTGCCTGGAGGCGGAGTCCTCTGCTTGTCTTACCTGACGGACAGACGTGAAAATCATGGCTGAGGCGAAGGCTTGTGTGAGGTCACACAGCATAGGTGGGCTGGGCTGGCAGCCCATGACCCCACATGGCACAGGTGGGCTGGGCTGGCAGCCCATGACCCCACATGACCCCACATGACCCCACACGGCACAGGTGGGCCGTGCTGACAGCCCACAACCCCTCATGACCCTGCATGGCACAGGTGGGCCGGGCTGGCAGCCCACAACCCCACACGACCCTGCATGGTACAGGTGGGCTGGGCTGGCAGCCCACGACCCCACATGACCCCACACGGCACAGGTGGGCCGGGCTGGTAGCCCACAACCCCGCACGACCCTGCATGGCACAGGTGGGCCGGGCTGGCAGCCCACAACCCCGCAGGACCCTGCATGGCACAGGTGGGCCAGGCTGGCAGCCCATGACCCCACATGACCCCACATGACCCCACACGGCACAGGTGGGCCGTGCTGACAGCCCACAACCCCTCATGACCCTGCATGGCACAGGTGGGCTGGGCTGGCAGCCCACGACCCCTCATGACCCTGCATGGCACAGATGGGCCGGGCTGGCAGCCCATGACCCCTCATGACCCTGCACGGCACAGGTGGGCCGAGCTGGCAGCCCATGACCCCTCATGACCCTGCACGGCACAGGTGGGCCGAGCTGGCAACCATGATCTGTACCTGCTCGGGTGCGTCCATCTTTGTTAGCAAACCAACTTCTCCCTCCCCCATTCCCGCACCTGCCGCGTACCAAGAAGGCAAGTAAATAAAAACAGTGCCGAGGTTAGAGCCGGACGCAGGGGCAGAGTCAGGGCCTGGGGTCACAGAAAGGAGCGCCCAGTCCCTCTGGGAGGCGGGGCGAGCTCAGAGAGGTGCGTCTGAATCGGAGCTCGCAGAGCAGGGAAGGAAGCGTGTTCCTAGGAGGGGCAGCGGCAGGTGCAAAGGCGGCGGCCCGGGGCGTGCGTGGATGGCCAGGGGCGGGTGTGGCAGCGCAGGCCGCCGGCCAGAGGCTGGCAGGACACGAGGCCAGACTCACTGGGGAACGGGAGGCCGTGCGGGGTAGCCTGGCCTTTCTCCGAGGAACCTGACTGATGGAGAGGGCGGCTTGCTGTTCCTTCAGCCACCGCCTGGCCGGTCTGTCCACTGCAGAGACGGCGGCAGAGGCAGGATGGTGGGCAGCTGCGGGCTGTCCCAGAGGAGGGTGCCACGGGGCAGGAATCGGGCGCCCGTCTCCCTGTTAGCTCCTCTTGGCGCGGTGAGGACAGCGGCCCTCTGTACACCCAGACCCCTGAGACTGGCCTTGTCAACCAAGAACAGGGCAGGTTGCTGACTCGAGGGGGCCTGCGGCTAACACCCGGGCCCTTCCCGAGGGCCTCCTGGTCCCCCGCTGCAGGGACTTTGCGGCCAAGAAGCCCCGCAGCTGCCTCTGTCCCCCCAGACGATGCAGCTGCACCTGTCAGCCCAGCGGACACATCACGCAGCGTCACAGGCGAGGGGGAGGGGGGTTTGGAAACAGCCCCCGAGGCCCAGCATCGCATCACTCAGGGGACACGCGTTTAAGTCTCCGTCTCAGGGCCTCCTGCACCTGGAGGTTTCACCGTGGCTGCGGCTTCGCCCGGGATGGCGGAGGGGGCCAATCTGGTCTCCACACCCCGCTGTGGCAGACGGTGGCAGGGGATTCACACGCACCCTCCGAGCTCGCCTGGGACGCAGCCTCCCAATACCCCATCGGCCGCACTGGGGTTCAGAGCCGATCATGCAGTAAGAGGAGGAAGCTGACGGCGACACGCAGAAGGGGCACTGGGGGGAAGCAGGTCTCCCAAGGAGGCGGGCAAGAGCCACAGTCACCCCCCCACACACTCAAGACCACCCCAGCCCTCACAGAAGTCACCCCCCCACACTCAAGACCACTCCAGCCCTCACGGAAGTCACCCCCCCCACACTCAAGACCACCCCAGCCCTCACGGAAGTCACCCCCCCACTCAAGACCACTCCAGCCCTCACAGAAGTCACCCCCCCCCACTCAAGACCACTCCAGCCCTCACAGAAACGCAGGCGCGAGTCTCGCTCCACGCCACTCAGCTCAGCTAATGCAGGAAGCCAAGAGCACCGGGGGTTCAGGTTCGCGTTCGGGTGTGGTGCTACTTTCTAGGTGGGATCATGACACGGGGGCCGCGGGGCTGTTAGGACAGGAGCTACGCTTGTCCCGCAGAGGCTGCAAGGTGATGTGGGGCTTTGCTGGGGAGGGTGGGCCTGGGTTCTGAGGGTTCACCCTGGCGGGGCTCCGTCTCCTCCACCTGCCACACCTGGCTCCCAGGTGTCTGTGTAGGGGCTGGCATGAGGACCTCACGGGGAGGGTCACTTCCCACTGCACAGGAGGCGGTGCACCCAGGAAGCAGAGGAGGTGGGCAGGTGGGTGAGCAGCTGGCCGCTCCTGCCTCGGACACCCTGCGCCACGCATCAGCTGGGCAGGGGGCCCCTGGCCTTGCTCGGGTCCCAATTTCCTTTTGCGCCAGGAAGATTCCCACTCAAGGCAGCCTGGGAGGGAGGAGCCGGGGTGGGGACCGCTGGCCGAGGGCTGTGTGGTTTGCTGCTGTCAGAGGCCGCGGCCTGGGAGTTTCTTCTCCCACAGCCCCAGAGTCCAGCTGCAGGCAGGGCTGCAGGCCCCGTGTGGGCTGCGGGACGGGGACCCCCTGCCTCTCCAGCTCCTGGGCTCCGCGTGTCCCGTGCACGTGGCTGCAGCGCCAGCCTCCACCTCTGTTGTCAGGGGGCTCCTCCAGGGACCGTGTCTCCTTCTTAATGTTTGCTTATTTTCATTTATTTGAAAGGCAGAGTGAGACAGACTTTTCCATGGCTGGTTCTGGACTCTGTTCCTCCCCAGCCCTGAAGAACAGGGCAGGGCCCCTCCTCGGGGGACCGCGGCCCGAGGGGCACAGCGGGGACTCCCCCCACCCCCACCATGAGGAGCTGATGGGCTTTCAGGCCTTAGCAGGCATCAGAGGGTGCCTCTGGGCACAGCCACGAAAGCCACGGTCAGACTAGGCTGAGGGAGGGTCAGAGCCAGTTCTGCGCCTGGGGCCAGCGTGGTCCTGCCCCTGAGAGAGCCCCCCAGGGTCTACCACGTGCCCCAGGGTGTACCACGTGAGGGAGCCCCCCCAGGGTCTACCACGTACCCTGCCCCAGCCCCCACCGGTGTGCTCCTGGTGCCCGCTGTGTCAGTGGCCACAGAGCAGAACCGGGCGCCTCCTGCCCCCAGGGAGCTCACGGGCATGGAGGCCGCCGGCACGGGACACAAATATTTACCAAAGGCCCAACTTGTAGACGACCCCCAGAGAAGGCACCGGGCAGCCCACGAGCACACGGCACGATGCTGTTCACCTTTGGGGAGGTGGAGACCACAGCGCGGTGAGACCCCGCCCCACGCCCACTCAAAGGTGATCAGACAGCCGACAGTGCGCAAGAACCAGGACCCACGCCACGGCCGCTGGCTCCGCAGCCCAGCATCCCACTCCTGAAGGAACCGAAGACGTCCGTCCACGTGGAAATCCACACACGAATGCGCACGCCAGCATCGGCCCCTCTTGGATGCGTGCCCAAAAACAAGATGCGGGGGTGTTGTGGTGCAGGAGGTAAGGCCGCCGCCAGCAACGCCGGCATCCTCCATGGGTGCAGGTTCCAGTCCCGGCTGCTCCACTTCAGATCCAGCTCCCTGCTGTGGCCTGGGAAAGCAGTGGGAGACGCCCGAGCGCCTGGGCCCCTGCACCCACGTGGGGGACCAGCAAGAAGCTCCTGGCTTCGGTCTGGCCCAACCCTGGCTGTTGCAGCCATTTAGGGAGTGAACCAGGGGATGGAAGGCCTCTCTTTCTCTGTAACTCTGCCTTTTAAATAAATAAGTGTTAAGAAAAAAGAAACAGGAGAAAGCAGAGCCCTGCCGGCATCAGAGTCGCTGGATCCAGCTGTGCCTGCAGCCGACCCAGGGAGCGAGGTCCAAGGAGGCGCCAGTTAGATGGGACTGGGGGAGTGCCTTTGTCACTGCACAACCATGCCCACCCGCCACAGCGCAGCCACGCCCCTCATAGGAAGCCACGCCCATTACTGTCACACCCACCACAGCGCAGCCCCGTCCGTCCATCATGGCGCAGCCACGTCTGCCGCCTGCCACGCGGCCATGGGCACACAAGAAGCCTCACGTGCTCAGCGCCCCCGAGTGGCTGTGCACAGCGTCGCGCTCTGCTGTGAAGCAGCGGCTGCACGGGGGCGGCCCCTGTCCGCTTCTTTCTCCCCCCCTCCGGGGTGGGAAGTGCAGAAATTCTAGGGCTCCCCAGCGACTCTGCAGAAAGGCGCCCAGGGCGGGGCCTGGGGGTGCCTGACAGCAGGGGGAGCGCCTCCCACGCTGGAGCCCTGGGCCCCGGCACCTGCTGTGAGACGCAGGTACAGTGCACGGGGCACGCGCAGCACCAGGTGAGGGTGAGGACGGGGCTCGAACCCCGAGACCAGACGCAGGGCGCTCCGGAGTGGGCGGGCTGAATGCTGTCCCCGCCCCCAGCCACTCCACCTGCAGCCTGGAGGCGTCTGCTGACAGGGACTTTGCAGATGTGCGGATTAACCACCGACGGGTGTGGGCTAGATCTAGTGACCCGTGCACTCACAGGCGGCAGAGACCAGGGGACGCGGCCACAGCAAGGCCAGCTGGGGCCACCAGGAGCGGGGAGGAGGGGAGGGGTCCTGCCCTGGAGCCCCTCCCCCCCAGACCCTGATTTGGGCTTCTGGTCTCCAGAGAGCGCGCGAGCCACCTCAGCCTCGGCCACCTGCGTGTCACTGTCCAGCGACTGCAGGACAGGCAGGCAGGGTCAGGAGCGCCCCTGGTGGCCGGGACTGTAGTGCGTGGGGAACGAGTGGGCCTGATGCTCCCGCCTTCAAGAACCATCACAGGTGCCACGTCCGTGAGCTCCCGGCACTGCCACCTGGAGCGGTCACCCCTCAGAAACCGCACGTGGCTTCAGTCACCCTGCACTCTCCCTCCTGCCTGGGGGCCTCTCGCCCGGGACTCCCGGGAGTGCGTTCTCACGGGGCTG